GGGGACCGCTTTGCAGAACACCTACGCTCGGTTCGCAATAAACAACTGCACCTCCCAGTCACGAACCATTTCAACTCCCCCTCCCATTCCTCAGACGACATGTCCATCCTGGGCCTCCTGCAGTGCCACAACGATGCCACCCGAAGGTTGCAGGAACAGCAACTCATATTCCGCTTGGGAACCCTGCAGCCCAATGGTATCAATGGATTTCACAAGCTTCAAAATCTCCCCTCCCCCTACCGCATCCCAAAACCAGCCCAGCTCGTCCCCGCCTCCCTAACCTGTTCTTCCTCCCACCTATCCCCTCCTCCCACCTCAAGCCGCACCCCCATTTCCTACCTACCAACCTCATCCCGCCCCCTTGACCTGTCCGTCCTCCCTGGACTGACCTATCTCCTCCCTATCTCCCCACCTACACTCACCTTTACTGGCTCCATCCCCGCCTCTTTGACCTGTCTGTTTCCTCTCCACCTACCTTCTCCTCTATCCATCTTCTATCCGCCTCCCCCCTCTCTCCCTATTTATTTCAGAACCCACTTCCCCTTCCCCATTTCTGATGAAGGGTCTCGGCCCGCAACGTCAGCCTTCCTGCTCCTATGATGCTGCTTGGCCTGCTGTGTTCATCCAGCTCTACACCTTGTTATCTCAGATTTTCCAGCATCTGCAGTTCCTACTATCTCTGAAGCTAAAACAAAGTAGGCCAGTGACAGAATAAGCCCATAGCTGCAGTAGCAGTCGGGAGTGAGTGTGGGAGTTGTAACCTAGACAAGAGTGTTTTAAATTTTAAGTTATCGAGCAGCCGTTCACAGACACAGCAATTGCTTTTTGGCTATAATCTGTTGCCGGAACATATGAGTGTACAAAAATTGAAGATGCAATATATCAGAGTGTTCAATGCATAATTGAAGGCACGGTAGAACGGTTCATTGAATGCAGTATGAGATAAGAATAGGGATGGGGTAGATTATGGAGATCTGAACGCACGGTGTCTATTCAGGAATGTATCTTGGAGATAAGAATGCATGTTGTCTACATAGGATGTAGAATGCGAATGCACGGTGTACAAGGGAGACGGCTGTATCATACAGCGCATTAAACAGTTGGGGTATAGAATGACTAAGTGTGTATAACTGAAGGACTGTTACTTAATGTATTTTGACGTCAGGCGATAGCTGATTGGTTCTGCCTACACCGCCTCCTTTTGCTTCTCCTGGTTCCTCGGTCTCAGTCTGGTTTTGTTCCGATGGCGGAGAAGTTCACTGTTCCGAGTTCTGGCTCCAGTTGCAGCATTTCGTCCCTTTCCAGCGCGCTGTCCAACACCAGGCTCGATTTGCTGGACTCGGAGGGCTCTGCTGCCCGCAATGGAGCTCATGTGTCCCGATCGGGCGCCAGTTTTCAGGCGCAGAGGCGCCGACTCCGCCGGCGCTCAAGCAGCTACAGCGTGGAATCGGCGGACAGTCCAACTGAGGTTCGAGTGTTGGTGATAAATACCGGAGGAACTATTGGCATGATGTACAGAGATAACGGTGAGTGAAAAGCTTGTAATCAGTTGTACCCGAACCCGCTATCGGGACCCACTTGGAAAACATTCGTCTCGGAGTCACCTTTCAGGGACTTGCTACAATTAAAATGTGGCTGAGCCGTACTTTAACAGCTTCAATCCCTTTCTAACGTGCCGGAACCATCCTTCGAGGTCGGAGACAGCGGGAACTTGATAATATGGTCTCAGCCTTTGTGTTGTGATGTGTCCAGAATACGACTTGAGTCTAGAACTCGACATGAAATAGAAATTGTAGGATCTGGTGAATCGCATGTTTTTATTTTTTTTCTCTCTGTTGGGGCCATCCAGGTATCATTGCGACAGATATACGAGCTAAGTGTTCCTTTACCACATTCAGTGCGGAATTCACTCTGTTTCACTTGCTGTTCACTTTGCATTGCTGTCAGTCACTTATGTAAATTGGGCCAATCATATTCACTAAAGGAGCAGGAAAGCTGACATTTCGAGTCGGGACGCTTCTTCAAAAATGAAGAAGGGTCCAGACCCGAAACGTCAGCTTTCCTGCTCCTCTGATGCTGCCTGGCCTGCTGTGTTCCTCCAGCTCCGCTCTGTGTTATCTCTGACTCCAGTATCGGCAGTTCTTACTATCTCACATTCACTAAAGTTGTCTTAACCGATGTTGAGTCATATATCCACGAATTTTCAAACATTTTCAAAGCAGATTCAATCTTGGCTTTGTTGTTGGTATGTTTAGGGAAGTAGGACACACTGAGTTACTTCTGCAGGGTGGGTATTCATTGAAGAGAGGTGTCAGTGGATTGAGCACAATGCGGGAGCAAATTACTACGATGCTGGAATCTGTACTGAAAAAGAAGAAAAGAATGCTGCAGATCACAGTGGGTCATTCAGCATCCATGGAGAGAAAGTCAATACAGCGTTGAACTGGAGAAACACGGCAGGTCAGGCAGTGCCAGAGGAGCAGGAGAGTTGACGTTTTGGCTCTGGACCCTTCATCAATTTTTAAGAAGGGTCCCGACCTGAAACGTCAGCTTTCCTGCTTCTCTGATGCTGCCCGGCCTGCTGTGTTCCTCCAGCTCCACACCTTGTTATCTCAGACTCCAGCATCGGCAGTTTATCAGGATCTCTATGGAGAGAAAGCAAGCTAGTGTTTCGAATCTAGATGACTCTTCTTCATGTCTGAAGAGTCATCTACACTCGAAACATTAGTTTGCTTTCTCTCCATGACGCTGCTGACCCGCTGTGATCTCCAGCATTTTTTGTTTTCAGTTTACACTGACTTACTACTGCAAACTGAATGATTGGCCTCTTTAACCATTTCATGATTCTATAAATTTGTGGCAACTTGTAAAGTTTTCAGGAGGACATTAAGGGAATGTAGTGATGTTAAGCATAAAAGAGATAAGTGGATTACATAGAAAGGACAGAATTAAAGAAATTAGAGAAATGATGAAAGAAACTGGGAGTAAATTGTTACACTAAAAGTATGTGGTTTTCTTTAGAAAAGAATAAAATAAGGATTGGGATGTAAAAAATTAAAAAGTTATTTTTAAAGTGAAATGTACACCAAGAGTATTTGGTTTAAAGAAAACATAAGAAAACGGTCAAGATGAAGTGAGCAGAAACAATTGTGAAGAAGTTGAAAGGATATCATCCAGAAGGACTTAAAAGTTATGTAATGGAGAGTACCCTTAACAGACAAATACGTGGACCAAGATGCAAACACTGTGAGCTAAAATGAGCAGCAGAGTTGTACTTAGAAAAGACTACTGAAGTAGGAATTAAAAAGAAACAATAATGCTCTATTTTAAAAACAAATGATGTGTCCACACTAGACAAAAATACACAAATACCAGGAAGGAACATGCCTAGGAGAGAGCTGGTTGACTTAAGCATGATGAGTCAGAGGATTTCCTTTAGCTCTCTGTTTGTATTGAATAGTAAATATTGGTCAGGTTACTAGGCATGCTGTTATTCAAACAGAACTCTTTATGGATGATAATGGAATAGTTTAGGTTAGATGGGCTTCAGATTGGTTTCACAGGTCGGCGCAACATCGAGGGCCGAAGGGCCTGTACTGCGCTGTAATGTTCTATGTTCTATGTTCTATGTTCAACGTAGCAAGTGAAAATCACATCTCATGCAAGTCAAGCTGTCCAACAATGCAGCAATTCTTAGCACCATGTTGCAGAGTCAGCCAAAATCCTGAGCTCAAGTTTCTGGACTGGGTCTAAGGTCTCAAAACCAACAGGCCAAGGCATCGTGGGGTTTAGCATGGAGTATTTGTGAGTCAGATCAAAAAATTGTAAGTGCACAGGTTTGGCTAAAATTGCCTCATGTTCACATGCAAAGTTATGGAAAACAACTTTTGCTAGACCTAAAAAAATGTTTTGAAACATTCAACAAGAGCCAATAATGTTAGCTGTTATGTTAGAATCATTATGTTAAAAAACTGAGAGGCCTGGATACTGTAGACGTGGAGAAGGTATTCCACTAGTAGGGCACAGCCTTAGAGTGAAGGGTTGACCCTTTAGAACTGAGACGAGGAGGAATTTTGTCAGCCAGAAAGTGGTGAACCTGTGGAAGTCTTTGCTGCAGAAGGCTGCGGAGGCCAAGATATTTAGTGTGTTTAAGACTGAGACAAATAGGTTCTTGATTAATAAAGGGATCCAGGGTTACGAGAAACATATCAGTCATGATTGAATGGTGAAACAGACTTGATGGTCCGCATAGCCTAATTCTTCTGCTGCCTTATGGGGAATAAGGGAAAAGATATTGCAGAATATTAGAAATTTCTAAGACATATTCACAATTGTAATAACATTCCTAATAACTAATGTTACTGAAGATCTCTAATTCTAATTGTAGTCATTTTGGCCTCAGAACTTGGATCTACATAAACACAGATGAGACATAATTTTTTTGTTTTCTTTGCTTTCAGTACTTGCACCACAAGCAAACTCCCTTGTCAAAGCCCTTCGAAAAATGCCAGGCCTGCATGATGAATGTTATGCTCAAGAAACCAAACTTTATGACTTCTGTGACTCACCAGAAAACACTTTGGTTCTTCCGTAAGTAGCTATTCATTTCTGTCTGCTATCCAACCTTGTAAATAATTAACATTAGAAACACACAGATTAAAAATAATCAGCTTACGGATAACATAACATTAAACTTGTTTCTATCTAGATCTGATTGACTTTTTAGGTGATGTGATACAGATACCATGCTCAGCTTGGCTTGGTTTGTGCGTCTCTTGTTTCCTGGTGTGAAGCCCCAAACCAGGACCTGAATGTGTCTGACAGGCTGACATTTCAGCGTAGTATTAAGGATTTTGGAGTTGACTTGAATATTAGATTAATCATAATTAGTAAAAGAGGAGCAGAAGAATGTCGTGTTCTTTGGTTGTCATTTCAATGTAGCCATAGCTCATTTGAATAAGGCAAGATGCCAAAATGAAACCTTGAATTTACTGAATACGTTCCACACCATATATTTTCTAATTGTGTAAAGAATCAATTATTCACACGCTGACTTCTGTGATCACCGGAGCTGGTTGCGTTAGAAGGGATGAATTTACTACGTGGTCTTCCACTGCAGCATACCCATAAAACTCCACATTTATGAAAGCGAGGTAGTGTGATGATAGTTGCCTGCTAGAGGTTGATTTGTTCTCTGGATTGATGTAAAAAAAAGACCCCCCCACCAACGCTTTGAGGGGTCTGATAAGTATCTGATCCTATCAACAACTACATAAATAATTAAGTTTTTGAATTTACAGTATGATAAAGTTCTTGATTGTTTTAAGCATTCACTACTTTCATCCATGGCATACTTATAGAATTTACATAGCATTATTAGTTACATTAATAGTATAGAGTATTTAATAATTGATAAAATATTAAAATTGACCAAAGGTTGTTGAAAAGGATTGCATAATGTGTTGATATGGGGGAGTACATCAGATTTTATTGTAACAGAATAGGCAGTTTTGATACATGTTGTCAATGATAAAATTTTGCATGTGTGAGACCAGCAGTTTACTTAATGACTTATTTATTAATGTTAAATAGGTTTTAAACATTTTCAGTATTAGAAATATAAATCTTGCTTTTTATTCTGTTTACAGTCGTTGTAGGCCAAATAAAAGGATTGTATACACAGTTATTGAATATTCACCACTTCTAGACTCCTGTAACATGAACACAGATGACTGGGCTAAAATTGCAGTCGATATCGAGGTAAGCTGAGACTTGTGTCGAGAATGAGTTGATATTAATGGAATCAACCAAAGCTGAGAGTGCGTTGTATGGTCATTAGTTGTCAAAACATAATTCAAGAGACTGCATAAGTCTTGTTCAGAAGGAGTTAATCTGATGTACAAGATCTCCAGGTATTAATTACTTTGTAGACCAAGTTCTTTTACTGGCTTAGATCTTGTAGTTGTATGTGTAGCATTAGGGTAGCTACAAAATGTGTTCACTGAATAAACGTTTAATTTGTCTTCATTACATTTTTAAAACATTTTGAAAGGACATTAAAAATATAAAAACAGACATTAATGTCTATGTATATCCGCAATCCTTCTATGATATTCCTGTTGTAACTCCAGTGCATAATAGAATTGCACATGATGTGTGGACCTCTTTAATTGATAGAACTGGTCTCAATCTGTCCCTTACACAGGATAAGGGGATGGGAAGGGACTGATTTTTAATGCCAAATCCTCTCTCATTTTCCAGTTGACAGATAACAGTGGTATGCAAGGCCTCAGGTAGTTAGAGGGAGTTGGAGTGTAAGATTAGGGAAGTCTTACTGTAGCTGTACAAGGTATTGGTGAGACCACATCTGGAGAACCGTGAGCACTTTTGGTCCCCTACTTTAAGCAAAGATATTTAATTGGAACAGAGGGCATAGTCTCAGAATTAAGGGGCACCAGTTTCAGACTGAGATAAGGAGGAATTCCTTCTCTCGGAGAGCTGAGAGTCTTTGGAACTCCCTGTCACCGAGAGCAGTGGGCTCAGAGTCCTTGTGTATATTTAAGGCCATTGTAGATTCTTGATGGTTAGGGGAATAAAGGGTTGCAGGGAAAGGGCAGAAAAGTGGACATGAGGAGTGTTGGGTCAGCCATGATCTTATTGAATGGTGGGGCAGTTTCAAGAGGCCAAATGGCCTATTCATTCTTATTTCCTACGGTTTTATGGATGGTCAAACGAATTATCATGCTGTGTTTGTGCTGATTTTGTCAGCTGCCTTTTATCAGCTCGATACGCTTGAAGTGTCTGATACACAGCATGAGAGAGAAAAGAGATACATTCATTGTGAAGTAAAATTTGCCATTAGTTGTGGTGCTGTTAGATTCCTTGGAAACAATTCCAACAGATCTACTGTTTTCTAAGCTTCACATTCTCTTTTCTCTCAGAATAATTACCAACAATACAATGGTTTTGTAATCCTTCATGGCACAGATACAATGGCCTATACCGCTTCAGCCCTTTCTTTCATGTGTGAGAACCAAGGAAAACCCATCGTCTTGACTGGCTCTCAGGTAAGCTGCAATGCCATAGACAGACTTCACCATGCAGTTATAGGTCAGTGAATAAAAGATGTAGTGATTCAGATTTCACACAAACATACGTGGAACATGGTATAACCATAGAACTTATACGTTGTGGTAACCCTTATAAATCATTAGTAAGACAAATGGTATTGAAGTTCTTTCTTGTCTTGTTTGTATGCTTAATTTTCTAGAGATTCTTTGCTCAGGAAGAGTAACAATGTTGACTTTGGAAGTAAGATTCTACATTGTGCATTATAGTTCATATCCTCTAATCGAGGCAGCATCCTGGTAAACCTCTTCTGTACCCTCTCCAAAACCTCCACATCCTTCCTGTAATATGGCGACCAGAATTGAATAGAATACTCTAATTGTGGCCTAACCAAAGTCTTATAAAGCTGTAACATGACATCCTGAGTCTTGTACTCGGTTCCCCAACCAATAAAGGCAAGTATGCCATATGTCTTCTTCACCACCCTATCTAATTGCGTGGTAACTTTCAGGGAGCTATGGACTTCAGCCTCAAGATCCCTCTGTACATCAATGCTGTTCAGGAATGCTGCCATTAACTGTATACTTTTCCTTAACATTTGATCTCCCAAAGTACTGCACCTAACACTTTTCTGGATTAAAGTCCATCTGCCATTTCTCCGCGTAAATTCTAACGCTTCGAATTCTTTCCAATAACTTCCCAACTACTGATATGAGACTTACCTGTCTATACTTTCCTGGATTATCCGTATTTCCCTTCTTGAATAGAGGAACAACATTAGCTATTTGGCAGTTCCTCCAGGACCTCTTCACTGGCCAAGGATACAAAAATCTTGGTCAAGGTTCCAGCAATCTGCTGTCTTGCTTCTCTGAGTAACCTGGGGTAGATACTATTGCTTCTGTCAGTAACCTGGGGTAGATACTATCAGTCCCTGGGGATGTATCCACCTTAATGCTCTTCAAGAGATCCAACACCATTTCTTTCTTGATCTCAAAATGTCCTAGCATATTAGCTTGCTGCACACAAACCTCACTATCCTCCGTATCCTTTTCCTGCATGAATACCGATGCAAAGTATTCATGTAGGATTTCACCCACATCCTTTGCCTCCAAACACAGATTCCCTCCTTTATGCTTGAGTGGTCCCACCTTCTCCCTAGTTATCCTCTTGTTTTTAATGTATGTATGGAATGCCTTGGGATTCTCTTTAACCCTACTTGCCAAGGTCATTTCATGGTCCCCTCTTGCTCTCCTAATTCCCTGCTTGAGTTCTTTCTTGCTTTCTTTATATTTCTCACAGGCCCTGTCTGATTTTAGCTTCCTAAACCTGACGTCTGCTTCTTTTTTCCTTTTGGCTAAATTCATAACCTCCGTTGTTATCCAAGGGTCCCTTATTTTGCCATCCTTTTCCTTCCTCTTCATGCTGGCCCTGAACTCTAATCAGCAGGTCTTTAAACAATTCCCACATGTCAAATTTCACTTCCAAATTACTTGATAAACCTGCATGTTAGTTTTTAGCGACAGCTGGCCCCTTTGGCCTTTCAGTATTTAAGAAGCAAAAGGCATGTTGATAACACATTTAAATTAAGAGTCAGAGAGCTTAGGTAAAACATGAATTTAACAAACAACTGAGGAATTCCACAATGAACTCAATGATGTTAGCACTCTTATCCCCATTGTTTCTTGACTTTGTTTAAAATCCCAAGATGTTATCAATTTATTCATTCGGAAAGGATGCTTCAGTGCACTCTGGGAAAACCACACGAGTTCAAACTAGAAGTTGTGCTGCTTGCTGCTGTCATTGAGTTGTCAATGACTATATAGTCACAAAGTCTTATGAACTGAAATGCTTAGGCCCCATAGAATTGCATGCCCTTCCATCTGAAATTTTTAATGTAGATGTAGATACTTTGAAATATAGCTGCAAGAACTTTGCCTGAAGTATGGTGTAATTCCTGTTTGTGGTGACAGAATGGGACCAGTTTCATGGAAGTTCTATGCCATCTTTAGAGTCAGAGTTATTAAGCACGGACATAGACTCTTTGGTCCAACTTATTCATACCGACCAGATATCCTTAACTGATCTAGTCCCATTTGCCAGCATTTGGTTCATATTCCTCAACTCTTCCTATTCGTACCCATCCAGATGAGTTGCATGAAGGAGACAGCATACTGAGTTTACCCATCTCTAAACATATTTTGAGCAATTTCATTGAATCGCTTTTTGTTTTGCTCACTTTTTACTGACTGGCAATACTGATATATTTATTTTCATATATCCATAGTAACTTTTGATTGGTTTATGAGCATATTTTGATTTGTGCACATTATCCAACTCAGCAGTTGTAATCTCTGTATATAAATCCAATCTCTCACTGCCTTTCTCACAGTGAGCTGCACGATCTACTCTTCCATAAAAATGGGATATTATGCCTAGTCGCACCAAACCTGTTACCAAGTACTGAGTTCGACACAAACAGAATAAGTGAACTTCTATTTTCATTGCATAGTAATTTTGTTTTTTCTCTAATCTGAAGATTACTTATTGCAACTGTTTATTTAACTACAAATACTTTGAAGTTCTGGTTCAGAATCCTTGATCACTCTTACTTTCATAGACTTCTTTTGATCTTCTATCAATGAATGAACTTGCTACTTTCCTCTTTTAATAACTGAAAATGTGCAAGATGATGTCCCAGACTAGAAGTAGACAACATTGAAGTATGCAACATTGTCAACCGTGTGTTTTGTTGGCAAGAGGATGGTCTTGATATTTGGCAGTAGTGGAATGGATGCTGGTGTTTGGAAGCATGCTAGTGCCTGGGTTTAATCATACTTGGCTGAGTTGGAACCTGTGGTTTGAAATTCTATTGCCATTTCTATTTGATTTCTGCTAATTCCTGGATTTAGACATTATAAGTACACAATTTAAATTTAAGTAATGTAATTTTTAACATAATGCATATTTCTAGTTTCTAGTTTCTAGTTTATTAGATAATAAAAGCTGATCGATGTTTAATTGGCAGCATCTGTCACATAAAGAATGACGCATTGGTACAAACTTGTTTGTTGACAGTGTTTTGAGAGCTCAAACATAGGCATTTGAATGTCTGTTACTGGTTCCATAATAGCAGCATAAACTTGCCCCGTTCCAATAATGTTAATTCACTTTTCTCCGAACAGACTGAACCACTGTGAATTTCTCCACTTCTGACATTAAAGTTATTATAGCATGATTGTCACAAAATCACTGGAATTCATCTAGTTTCATGCTATGATGAATTTAAAAAACACAAATAGGGATACTGCATGTAGTAAATGACTTTTTAAACTGCAATAACTCATACCCACCATCACCATCACCATCACCACCAGCCACTACCAATGTAGCGATACTAATAAAGTCTTAATGAGTGATCAAAGCAGTGCAGGATCTGGTTTTCTTTACATTGATGCAAAAGTCAGATGGAGGCCTGATTTTCCAATCAGGGTTGGATTCCCTATTTCCAACCTAGATCAGATTAAAAATTGCTCACTTAGCTTCAGTATAGTTTTTCCAGGCTAGGAGCCTTCCCAGCTGAAGCTGTGTAGATGGGCCCACAAATCCTCGCAGCCAGTAGCAGAGTGGATTAGCACTGAAATCACACCACCCTTTTCAATAATAAAAGTTGTGTTCCGTAACTTTGATAATTACTTGAGAGAGATATGGTTTAAAGTCACTGAGAGGGCAGGATTGGTGAGGAGTACAGGTACTTGTTGGTGAGGGAGTAGGATCTTTCATAGAGGGGGTTAGTTTGTCAGGTGGGTTAAAGGTAAAGATGGCAGCTAAGCTGAGGGCAGGTGACTCTCAAGAAGATACAGGTTCAGCGATGTGAGTGGATTGGTGGGGTCTGTCGAGACTATTGAGTCACATGGGCAAGAGGACTTCTGACCTGTGGGGGAATGTCGAGTACATGGGGCGTTTGGGAGAGATGTCATGTTTGGAATGTCAGCGCTGTCAGGTGGAATGACTAGACTCAGGGTTAGTCATCGGGAGAGCTTAATTCTCTTATTGTTAGCCAGGAGTTAGAACAGGTTCCAAATCTACTAATATTTCCTTTCAACTGTTCAGCTAAGTAACTCATAAAAATGCACAGTCTGACTCTGACTTAGAGTTGGGGGACTTTCAAGTTTGAAATTACTGGGCAATTCTTGCAGAGCCATCAGCTGGCAGCATTCCCACAAGGTCTTGATACACAATTCCAGTCTACATTTCAGCAGCAATTCTCTTCCTATTGGAAGATCTGGGCCATCTGAAAGAAATAGAGACTGTCTGAAGGAGAGAATCTAATTTCACTTAAAACTGAATTCAGGTTTGTATACTGATCCTGAATTCACATGATAATTTCTTTGTGTCTCGGAAAGAAAAATTTGATAATCACATTATAACTGCAGCCTGAATAAATCTAATACCAGTGCATTGCGGGTGGAAGTGGGATGTAAATAATTTCATTCTAAGATTCTGCACTGAGAATATCATCGTGATTCTTAAGCCCCTTTAAATCACAGGTGGCAAGAGTTCCAAGTGATCTGTTTGCCTTAAGATAATTTTAGTTACATTTATTATGCTTTTAATTAAGTGCTATCACTCTGTAGGCAGATCCCCCACTTCTCAAGCAGTGAAAACAATAAAAATATTTAAAATACTTAGTTTCCATGTTCTGAAGTGACAGGATTCCACTCATGCAACATTTGTCTGATTCAATTCCAAATAGTGCACCATGAAATTAGCAATGGTTCTTCATCTGAGCAATTTCTTTGAGTATCATGTCCCAAAGAATCAAAAAGCAGCTGTATTGTTTTCAGTGTTGAACCACTTCAGAATAAGGCTGGGCTTTTGAAATTACTTCAAATGTAGTCACAAAATCACAGGATTTAAAGTAATTGGTAGAAGGATTAGAGGGCAATTGAGGCAAAATTCTTCATCTAGAGAGTGGTGTGAATCTGGAACTCTCAGCTTGAAAGGGTGGTTGAGGCAGCAATGCAGACACTTCATAGAGGGGCAGTGTGAAGAAAATATATGAGCAGAAATGCTATACTGACATGATATAGAACCATGGGGTGGCATCTTTAGTTTCACATTGTCCAGGTGTGCTTTTGTGAATTACTTCACAGCAGAGGCAATTATTATCCCAGAAGATGTTGGAAAAATTGGGCCTCAGCACAATTAATAGGTCATTTACTGGTATTTGGACACAAGTGTTGTGTGGTTTGCTGCAACCATAAAAGAGCGAGAAGAAAGAAACTTGGTGGATTTGGGAAGGAAATAGTGAGCTGTCAGGGTAGCACAGAGACGGAATTCCAAATAGCCGATCACTAAACCCTAAGTAATAAATTTAGTAGACAACAAGGTGCAGGGCTGGATGAACACAGCAGGCCAAGCAGCATCATAGGAGCAGAGAGGCTGACGTTTCGGGCCTAGACCCTTCATCAGAAAAGGGGGAGGGGAAGGGGGTTTTGAAATAAATAGGGAGAGAGTGGGAGGCGGATAGAAGAGGGATAGAGGAGAGGATAGGTGGAGAGGAAACAAACCCACTCCAACCTCTCCCCCGCAGAACGTGCAGCCCTCCGCTCCCTCTGCTCCAATCCCAACCTCACCATAAAACCCGCGGACAAGGGAGGTGCAGTTGTAGTATGGCGCACTGACCTCTACATCGCCGAGGCCGGACGCCAACTCTCCGACACCTCCTCCTACCGCCCCCTTGATCATGACCCCACCCCTGAGCACCAAACCATCATCTCGCAAACCATCCACAACCTCATCACCTCAGGTGACCTCCCACCCACGGCCTCCAACCTCATCGTTCCCCAACCTCGCACTGCCCGCTTCTATCTCCTTCCCAAAATCCACAAACCTGAATGCCCTGGTCGACCCATTGTCTCCGCCTGCTCCTGCCCCACCGAACTGATCTCCAACTATCTCGACTCCATTTTCTCCCCCTTGGTCCAGGAACTCCCTACCTATGTCCGTGACACCACCCACGCCCTCCACCTCCTCCAGAACTTCCAATTCCCCGGTCCCCAACACCTCATCTTTACCATGGACGTCCAGTCCCTCTACACCTGCATTCCCCATGCAGCTGGCCTTAAGGCCCTCTGCTTCTTCCTGTCCCGCAGGCCCGACCAGTCCCCCTCCACTGACACCCTCATCCGCCTAGCCGAACTCGTCCTCACACTCAACAACTTCTCTTTCAATTCCTCCCACTTCCTACAGACAAAGGGGGTAGCCATGGGTACCCGCATGGGCCCAAGCTACGCCTGCCTCTTTGTAGGTTACGTGGAACAATCCCTCTTCCGTACCTACACCGGCCCTAAACCCCACCTCTTCCTCCGTTACATTGATGACTGTATCGGTGCCGCCTCGTGCTCCCACGAGGAGCTCGAACAGTTCATACACTTCACTAACACCTTCCACCCCAACCTTAAATTTACCTGGACTATCTCTAACACCTCTCTCCCCTTCCTGGACCTCTCTGTCTCCATATCGGGCAACCACCTCGAAACCGATATTCATTTCAAGCCCACCGACTCCCACAGCTACCGAGAATACTCCTCCTCCCACCCACCTTCCTGCAAAAATGCTATCCCCTATTCCCAATTCCTTCGCCTCCGCCGCTCCCAGGATGAGGCATTCCACTCCCGTACATCTCAGTTGTCCTCGTTTTTCAAGGACCGTAACTTCCCCTCCTCGGTGGTCGAGAACGCCCTCAACCGTGTCTCCCACATCTCCCGCACCTCATCCCTCACACCCCGTCCACGCAATAAAAACCAAAAAAGAATCCCCCTCGTCCTCACGTACCACCCCACCAACCTCCGGATCCAACGCATCATCCTCCGACACTTCCGCCATCTGCAATCCGACCCCACCACCAAAGACATCTTTTCCTCCCCACCTTTATCTGCTTTCCGGAGGGACAACTCTCTCCGTGACTCCCTTGTCCGCTCCACACTCCCCTCCAGCTCCACCACACCCGGCACTTTTCCCTGCAACCGCAGGAAGTGCTACACCTGCCCCCATACCTCCTCCCTCACCCCCATCCCAGGCCCCAAGAAGACTTTCCACATCAAGCAGATGTTCACCTGCACATCTGCCAATGTGGTGTACTGCATCCGCTGTACCCGGTGTGGCCTCCTCTACATCGGGGAAACCAAGCGGAGGCTCGGGGACCGCTTTGCAGGACACCTATGCTCGGTTCGCAATAAACAACTGCACCTCCCAGTCGCGAACCATTTCAACTCCCCCTCCCATTCCTCAGACGACATGTCCATCCTGGGCCTCCTGCAGTGCTGCAACGATGCCACCCGAAGGTTGCAGGAACAGCACCTCGTATTCCGCTTGGGCACCCTGCAGCCCAATGGTATCAATGTGGA